CACTTTTAAAAAATTATGTGGTGCCTATATTGAGTTAGTTAAGTTTATGAAAATAAGAAATACGCTAGGGCTTTAAGAGAAGCCAAAAGAGGAGAAAGGAGAAGAGAAACTCAAGATTTGTAAGTTCTTGCAATTTGCGTCAAAGATTTCACCAGAGATTCAATCCTATGAGATATGTGAGACTTTCATAGCGTTGGATTTTTTCACCCATGCGCAAGACATGTTTGTTTAAGTGGAATTTGTTCTAAAAATTCTAAAGTATGATGTTCTTGAATTGTGTTCTTTAAATTGGCTTTATTTTTGAGATTTTATGGGATTGTTGAACTCTTGATGGAAAAATTATCGATTTTAGAATTTTTTTTATGTCAGAACCGTGTGTACATATGCATGGTATCTAATATTAACGAACAAATGATAAAAAGAATTGAATTTAGACGAATTGGGGTGAGAAAGAAAATAAGAAAAGAGTTGAGCGTGTTTCGGCACACAAGTCTGTGTCGCAGACTTTCTCCCTCGATGGACAAAAATCACCTTTGCATCATGGAGAAAACGTGGACTGCTGTGTTTCAAAAAGAAATTTTGCGATCAAGTATTAAAATAAATATTTGCCTTGTCTTGTTTTAAAACAATGATTTCTTGATCGTTTCACATCTTTATCAATATAAAAATTCTCCTAAACATCATGAGATCTTTTCTATCACAAATAACTATCCTTGAATCCATAAACTCAATTCAAGGAAAGTTAAAAGTCAAGGCATGAAAATTTTGTAGAGCTCGTAAAGATTCTTTTACTAACGTTTTAATTTTATTTTAAGACTTATGTGTTAAGTTAAGTAAAGAATAAGAGTAGCGTTTCATTTTTCATAGATTATACAAGATCAAGTATTTTCAAGAGTTAAAATGTTTTCACATTAGAGCAAGAAAAGAGAAATTGATCTCCATGAGATCTTTTAAGCTAAGTTTTTGAGTAATTATCTCAACCCAATTAAATATCTTGGTTATAAAATATATTACCTGATTTTATATTTTGACTAGTTCTGTTTACAGATATGGGGACGCGAGTTCATCATAATTCAAGTCTCTATAATTCATGTAGTCAACATGGATAAAAAGTATCATATATTTTCTATGATTCCGTAGTGTTTTTACGATAAACTAGTGTGTCCACTCAATTAAAGTGTTCTATATGACCAAAAAGTATATGAAAGTTCTGAAAATGTGGGCATGACGTTGTATCATCACTTAGGCTCATAGTAGTGGTTGTCGGTTAGAGATTCTCCATAGGATTATATTTTTTTTATATGTAATTGAGCTATTATAGTATTTCTTTAATAAATTAAGTTGTCACCTACTATTTTAAATACATTGTATAAATTGCACTGTTATTGTTGTTTTTACCTTGCACTTGAGTTGATTTATTCATGACTTGAGTAAAGTCAAGATAAGTGTTCATTTTCATATTAATTTCAATATTATGTCATGTTTAGTTTTTTCTTGGTATACTCACACATTCAATGTACTGACTCCATTTGGTATGCATCTTTTAATTATACAGATACAAATAACCAAGATTAATTTCCAATGCCTCGTTAATCCAGTTTAGCAATTAGAGTCTGATTGTGAGCCTCCTTTTACGAATGTTGAGTTCAGATAAATGATTTGAATGTGAAGCCAAGTGGTGACTAACCGGATTGGGAAAAAATGAGTATTTAGACAGGAAGTGGTTGATATTTTGAGGATCCGAGAGTTCTTGAGGATGGATCTTCCAAGTTTCACATGTCAAGTAGTAATAAGGACCCTTAGATTTTTATTGAGGATTTTCAAAAGGTATTTTAAGTTATGCAAGTTGCAAATGCTGAGCGATTATAACTAGCTTCATATCAACAAAAGAATGTTTTTAGGACTTTGTTTGACAAATGGAAGAAGGGTTTAGGTCAGGGAGCACCGCTTGAGAGTTGGGCTTGTTTTGAGGAAGCCATCTTGCGGTGTTTATTTCCCTAAGAACTGAGAGAGGACAACGTATGATATTTCTCACTCTAAATAATGATTCACTAAGTGTTCATGAGAACAACTTGAAGTTTGCCCAACGTTCCTTATATTCTTTGAAGATGGTTGGAGATATGAGAAGTAGGATGAGTCATTTTTTGTTGGGTTGTCTCGTCTGTCAAGTAAAGAGGGAAAGGCCAAAATTCTAATTGGGGACATAGATATAGAAAGGTTGAAGGTATATGTGTAGCAGGTTGAGGAAGAAAGGCCAAAGAATAAGGGAGAGCTTAGAAAGAGGAAAGTGAAGACACATAATGAGTGCATGAAGCAGAAGAATAATGTTAAACTGTCTTCTTTCGAACCGAAGCAAAAGGTACATGGTCCATCATATGCTAGTGCAGATGCAACAGAAACAAAGGTGAGAGTACAATGGTCAGAATTCAGAGAACTTTAGAGTTAGACCCGCACAATCTCAGGGTAGTGTGGAACAAAGAGGTAAGTGGGCTCATGCATGTGCTATGTTTGGCAGGATACACCCAGGTAAGTGTCGCAATGTCTCTAAAGGTTGTTTTAAATGTGGACAAGAGGGTCACTTCATGAAAGAGTGCCCTAAGAACATGCAAGGTAATGAGAATCAAGGAAATAAGGCCCAATCTTCTTCATTTGCTCTACTGAACCGTCGTGATTGACACCCACACTTAGAAGCCAGTGAAAAAATCACTACTACTATCCAACAAAAAACAGTTAATCTAAACTAAGACATTTAAGTTACAGAAAGAGGTTAAATTACTAAAAACGAAGTTTATGCTTAACTAAACAAGGATCCAATCAACTAAACGTTGCAGAAGATAAACATAAAACCTGAAAGTCAATGTACCAAAACTACTAAACTATATCAAGTCTAAACAAAGAATGTTAATGAATTATTCAATTATCTAAGACAACAGTCTATATCCAAAAATGGTGGTCTCAGATTAAAGAGAACTCCATAGCATCCTAGAAGATGTGACTCAACCTTGAATTCAATGCGACAATCTCTAATCTCCTAGGTAAGGTGTGTCAATAGCCGCTTGAAGATGTAATTTACTTAGCAAAAATAAGAGCATAGGTTGAATCAATACACAACCACCGTCTACTATTACAACCATGCAACTATACCACTAGTGCCATATAAACAAGTCGAACAACATAATATATATATATATATATATATATATATATATATATATATATATATATAACTAA